TCGTGCTTCGCCAAATGCTAATAAAGTGCCTGTAGCAGTAGTTAAGATAGATGGAATTTTAATACAAAAATAACCAGCTTCACCACGTGTAAATACTACAACATCATCTTCCAATGATGATTTAAAACCAATAAGTACGAGAAGTATAATTGATAATAACATCTAGTTTCAAAAATTAGTATATTTTATTATAAACATCTTTTAATTTTTTTTTATATAATTCTATATGCTTACTTCGTTTTCACGATTTATATCTGTTAAGACAAGAATCTTATTTTATATTTAATATATATATACTATGTTTTATATAAATTTAGTATTTGTCGAGATATATGCAATACTCCTTTTCTATTCTTAGTTACTGATAAAACTTCATAAATAAATATAAATTTAAGGAATGTGTCACCCTTTCTTATTCTTTTCTGTCGTCATCATCATCAACATCATATGAAAATAAGACCATACATGAGTGGAGTGTAAATGATAGATATTGAAGATTAAGTTTTCAGCTAACCAACAATAAACAGGAAATTATAGAATTTTCTCGAATATTCGCAGACATCAGTTTCTGTAAAGACTAAACGAAATAGTGCGTTGAATCTGCGAAAAATAAAGAATAAACTATTAATTAACCTCGTTCAAAATGATCATAATATACTAATTAAGCTGAGAAAACAATGATATACTTTTCATTTTTAAATCTCAGATGCCATATTTTCTTGTGATGTCAATGGTAGAATTAAATAGTACAATTATCTATCACGAATGAATCAAGAAACGAGTAACCCTGTGTTAAAAACGATATCAAAAAGTTTACATCAAATATTCGATAGATATCTAACAAAATGAATTTATTAAAATAAATGAACATTATATGCTTGGATGCATAATATATTTAACAACTATATCAAATCATTATTTACAAAGTACAAAATAAATAATAGTTCTTCAATTAATTTCGTCGGAAATTTCTAAATCACACCGATGTCCAGATGATATATGTTTACTTCCAGCATATTGGCAAAGTGTACCATCGTTTGTCGAAGGATCAGACCATTTACCTTGAGCACGTTTCATTGAAAAAATATTGGTACGAGTATTAACTACAGTAGTTTGTAATCTTGGAAATAAATAAATACTAGCAAATAGAAGAAATATAAAATGATAAGAATTAATTTTTAACATGTTGTGTAATAGAATTATTAAACAGTATTCAATATTTATATAAGATAGTATATGATTGATTATTTCTATCAATCTAGAATATGTTAATTGATTTTACATCAATTATCGATAAAAAAATCAAAAGATGATAAGAAATTAATGCTGACACATCATTTCGTTGTCTTTTTTCTATTGTCAGAAAATAGAGTAGATTGTATTAAAAGTTCATGTATTTCAATTGCACGAAGATGAACTCAAGAAGTATTTGTTCAGTTTTTTTTATTGTTATTCGTTTCTAAAAGTGCTAAATCCACCATTTACATCATGTTTTAAAGGGAGATAAAGCACTTGAATACGTGCAACTAACTGTAGAGAGTATCTTGATGTAAGTCTTTATAGAAAAGAACAGCTGAACAAGGATTAGGTCGTTAATAAAGATGACGAAGTTCATATTCTAATTCTTTGTTTTCAAATAATAGTTCATATAATAGTATCATAATCATCATATATGATAAAAATAATTATTTATTTCTATGAAATATCTCAGCTATGCGAAAACAAAAACTACATGATGAGTAAAAAATGAATGGAAAAAAAGCGTATTTCAATACGATAGATGTCTTCATTATATTATTAAAATAGAAAAAAATTATTAATACATTTAGTACAATATTGTAGTTAAACATCATGCGAAGTATAGGATCATCAGTAGATGATATGTCAAATGCTGGCGCCAATGCGGTTTTTGACCAAAATCGTCCCCTATCATAAATTCCTAGATCCGCCACTAGTACGATTATATCAAACTTCAGTTTAATAAATACAAGAAAATTGAAAATGTCTTTCTTATCAGTAGTTATATGTGATTGATTTATTATTCACCAATGATTTTATCCTGCATTAACATACCTCGATAACTAGTAGGATCTATATATTGAAGTTGAAAATAGACAATCAGTCTAAAACTCTAATTAACTGTGTAATAATACCTTTGAAAGCTTTAATAAATAAATACATTATAAATCAATTTTTTTCTTATTCATCAACTGTCATACTATACCATAAGAGTGAAGCACATTTCGTTTTTTTCTTTCCTTATCTTTTCGACCGAAATAAAAATCCGTATATTTATTTTATATTTTAGCAAAATAACAATTATTTATCAAGGTCTATACCACTAAAATAAGAGGTATTCGCAAAATGTCCGGAAAAATTATTATACTAACCAGTGGTATTACGACTCTTGTAAGTCTTTAACTAGGATATCAACAGAATTGTTGTCAGTTACATATATAATCAGCGGAAAAAAACATATTATGTATTCTATTTAAGGGACTATATCAATATACTAATTCTAAAAAGAAGAAACAATATATTTTCACAACAAAAGCTGTATCTGATCATCCAACAAGTATTATAATCGGTACTGGTATTATTGGTTTGACAAGTGCATATTATTTAGCAAAAAGTGGACATAAAGTTATTTGTATTGAAAAACGAGAAGATGTTGCTTTAGAGACTAGGTAAAAAATCTATAAAAAACAAAAAAAAGTTAATATATATTCAATACTTATTTTTAGTTATAAAAATGGTGCTTTGATTTGTCCATCTCTTTTAACTCCATGGGCGAATTCCGATGTTCCAAAAAATTATTTCCAATCTTTGTTTTCTTCTTCATCAAAACCAACATCTGTTAAAGTTTGGCCTAGTACTTTTTTTTCCGTTAAATTTTATCGTTGGATATACGAATATTTAAAAAATTGTACCACAAAAGCTCAGATCAAAAATGCTACACATCTATTAACACTTAGTAATTACTCTCGACAATGCTTGGATAATATTCTTAATGAAGTATTTATTTTTCAACTATTTTTTTTCATTCTATGTTTTTTTGTTTATAGAATTCAATATCATTTTCTCGTTACTCTAAAGGCTCTTTACAATTAGCAATTGACCCACATATTTTCGAACAATTAGTAGAAGAATCAAAACATATTAATAATATACAACTTCTATCAACAGCAGATGAAGTTATAAAATATGAACCAATATTAAAATCAGTAAAAGATCGACTCTATGGTGGTGTTTTTAGTTCATTAGACACAAATGGAAATATTTACGAATTTTGTTGTGAATTAAAAAAAATCTTAATTGAGAAATATAATGTTCAATTTTTATTTAATAACGAAATTAAAGATTTTATCGTAACAACTACAATTGAAAGCCGTACAAATCAACAACAACGTCATGTAACAGGAATTTTAACGAATGAAAATAAGAAAATTAATAATATAGATAATATCATTTTAACAAATGGAAATTATGTTATGCCATTAATGGAAAAATTAAATGTTTACATACCTGTTTATCCTGTTAAGGTAAAAATAGATATGTGAACTGAAATGGTTCATCTCTCTATTCTGTTTTATTTTAGGGCTATGTTGTTGAAAT